CACATTAAAAATTTGTTTTGAACAAATGGCTAATCCACATATTTTTCAAAATCTATGTTATCCCAATAGGATTGAAATCCCCAATGAAGCTCGAGAGTTTGTAGAGAGCCCATCTCAGTATTCGATGAATGATACATTTTTTCCAACCTACAACCCAGGTTGCACAAGTTACACAAACATTGCATGGAATCAGGGAAACCACTTCGGAACTCAAAACTTCACTCCCTCTTCGACCCAACATTTTCCTAGGAGAAAATACAGTTACTTTCAATTCTCATCCATAATTTCAACAACCCAGTCTGTCACATCAAAATCAGTCTCCTCATCATCAAGTTGTAACTCACACTCCTCTTGATACAGATCATGATGAATGTCTCAATATTTTGGAAAAATGTTTTGAAATCATAATTAAGGCCTCCACACTAGCCACGGATATGTTAACTCAAACATCCTACACGATGAACTCCTTTATGCAATCAACCGAACTCATACTTAATTCTAACACTTAAGCCATAACTAGATTGGAAACCCACAATGATCAACTAGTTAGAACCATAAGTGAAGGAGAGGAAGGAGAAATTTTGAGTCAACCTGTGATCAATCCTAAGGACACTCAAATGAATGCACTACAGTCAGGAAAACAGGTTGATAATCAGGAAAGAACACCTTTAAGCCAAATTCATGTTCCAATTCATTCTCCTTCTGATAACTTAATTCAGGAAAGACCAGAGGAAGAAGAAGAAGAGTCAGATCCAAGTTTTGAGGAAATTTTTGGTGAGGAGCTGAAAATATTAGGAGAAGCAGATCAGGTTGGTCAAAATAAGAAAACTGTGTTAAACAATTGCTGCTTTAAACTAACTTTTGAAGAACTCTTTCTTGATGAACTAAGATTTTTGGAAAATAAACAACAACCAAATTTTTACACATCAACCATGAATCATGGTGTTGAGGAAATTGTTAAAGAAAATTTGGTTGTTAGAAAACAAACATTCATAAATAAAGAATCTAAGTTCAAAACGCATGACACCAATATTACCTACCTTCTATTGCCATAAGAATTATTGAACACCCTGATTTGCTTAGAATTTCAGCACAGTGTTGATTATATCATTTTGAATTTATTTAAAACACGGGGAAGAATTTTTAGCAATAAGCTAGGATTCAATGTAGAACACGAGCTCTTCATGTTGAATATTTCATTCTACATTATTATTTTGTTTATTTCAGCATAATAAAATCTTCTCTCATTTGAGAGTTTCTTGTTCAGTTGTAAAAATAAAAAAAATAAAAGAAAAGAGAAAAAGAAAAAAAGAGAAAAATGAGAAAATAGAGAAAAAGAAAAAAAGAAAAAGAAAAAGAAGAATAAATTTTTGATTTCATTCTCCTCAGACCAAAGATAATTACAGATTTTTATCAGCCGATCAAATGTAAGTACTTCACTTCTTATCTGCTTTACTTTGTACATCATAGAGTTTGCATTAAGGATAATACAAAAATTAGGTGTGGGGGTGGGAATTGGTTATTTTTTTTCTCTTTATTTTATATTTTTAGTTGCATTTTTGTTATTTTTCCCCTTTTCCAAAAAAAATTTATAAAAATATCATCACTTGCCAAATTGATAGAGTTATGTAATAATTGATTTAGTTGATAAATTTTAAATTTTCTGATCTCTAGTTTGTTATTTACTCTAGTTTGTTATTTACTCAAGTTTACCTTTTATTTACTCAAGTTTACCTTTTAAGCCTTAACTTAGATTTTTATTTAAAATAATGGAATTTATGCATGCTTAGCTTAGAGTTGAAAATAATTTTTCAAAGTGTCTTTATTTACATATTTTTCAGAATATATATACATATAAATATTGAAAATAACAATAATAATATTAACATTACAAAAGAAGAGTGCGAAAAATAGGCACCAAAAGAAAGAAAAAAAGAAAAAAAACTCTTGAATTCAAGGTGATTTTATCTTATAAAGCCTAAGTTGACCGAGTAATTAAGCACAAGGAGTATTTCCATACTTAATGACCTAAGCCCAATTGGGTTGGGATCCATTGGTCCAAAACTCGTTAAATGGATACTTAGAAAGCCCGTTAAAGTAGAAAAAAAATTACCAAGGAAGAAAGAGTTAAAAATAATAATAATAATAAATAAATAAATAAATAAAAATAAAAATACTAATAAAAGTTTATATAGTTATATTTGTATATATGGTCTTGAAAAATATTTTAGATCAAGCAACTTAAAAATTATTTAAAACAAAGAGTTACAATGTTCTTTTTAAAACTTTTAAATTAAATTTCTAAGTTTGGTTTGGTTTTGTTTTGCTATAATGAGAAGATTTTCTAGGAAATTTACCTTGGAGTTATATATAAAAATGTTTTCTTGAGTAATAACTAGCTTCAATTAGATTATCTAATTTTATCAAGTAATTTTAGTTATTTACTGAGCTCTTTAAATTGGCAAGTTGACCAAGTTTTGTGGGTATATTCACTTCAAACTCTCACGAAACTACAACTCGTTCACTAAGGTAACCTGGGGGTTTAAAGGCTTGTTGTATGCACTAAATACAACCGCGATTCCTATAAAAGTGAGTTAGAATTTTCTTTTTATTTCTTTGCTAGAGGACTAGCAAAAGTTTAGGTGTGGGGGTATTTGATAATCATATTTTATTACAAGTTTATACCCTTATTGTCTATTTTTAATAAATAAATATACCACTAATAATTATTTTTTTCTTTAATTGAAGGTTAATGAAGAGTAAATTCCAAAAAACCTCATCTCTCATCAAAAGCCCTTGATTTAATGAAGAAATGAAGCAAAAGAGAAATCAAGAAGCCCATTGGAAAATCAAATTACCAATTTATCCAAAAGTCCAAAGCAAAAGAATCAAGCCATGAATTAATGAAGTCCAAAATGCCAAAGCCTATGAAGCAAAGCCTTACCTCTTATACGCATTGTGAACAATCCACACTATAAGAAATCTGATATTTAACGACCAAAATTAGTGAAGGGACCAGTTGACCGTCATTAATGGGTATATAATATTTAACGACCAAAATTAGTGAAGGGACCAGTTGACCGTCATTAATGGGTATATAATAACGACGGGTTTTAAACCCTTCGTGGAGCATTAATGGGTATATAATAACGACGGGTTTTAAACCCTTCGTGGAGTGATTTCAAATAATAGAGAAATACTATGATATGGGATGACGGATTTCTAATCCCTTCGTTGATTTGATCCTACTACTGTCGTTATTGGGTCTCCTTAAAAATGAAGGGGTCCATTACCTTCATTGATAGGACTCCTAATCATAATTGGATTGAAATTAACCTATTGCTATTAACAAATCCCATAACCAAACCCGAAGCCCCAACTAAAACTGAATTAATAAACTACAAAATAATCTAGAATTAACCTATTCCTATTACAAACCGAATTATTGAGACTCCTAATTATTATTTAATCAACCGCAGCTATAACTAATAAATAAACCCTAGTTACAAAAACCGCCGCCTCCTGTATATCTCGTCGTGGTCCTCCCGCACGTCGTCCGCTCCCCCACGTCGTCGTCGTCTCCATCTCCGGTCTTCGTCCGCTCCTCGTCGTCGTCCGCGCGATCCTCGTCGTCGTCCGCTCCTTCACTATTCACCGTCGTCATCATCGTTACTCATCGCGCGCCATCTCGAGAGTTGGCGTCGTCAACACCTGTTCGTCGACTCCAGTTAGTCGGTGATAGTCGGCGTCATCTCGAGTTCACCGTCATCAACACCAGTTCGTCGTCGATATCTCGTCGTGGTCTTGAGTTCACTGTCGTCGTACGTCTTCAGTTCATCTGCAGATCTTGTCGTCGTCGAGCAACGCCACAGCACCGCCCCAGCGTCGCCGCCGCCCCAGCGCTGTCGCCGCCCCTGCGTCGTCGTCGTCGAGAACTCTTCGCCTTCGTCGAGAACTCTTCCTCCATCGCGCGGCTCGACGGTAACTTTTGCAGTTATTGTTTGATTTTAGTACAGACCCTATAGTTTAAACTACTTTGCACTTAAGTACCCCCTTGTAACAATTAAAGCCAAAAACATTTATGAATTTGCAAATAAGTTTTGATTCTATTCTTTCCATCAAAAAATATTTATATGATTGTTTAAAAACTTATACCAATCCCACCGATAAGTAATTGCTTAAGGAAATTATTGGAACAAATTGACAAGCATTGATCATCATGATCATTATCTAGATTTGGAGAATTCCAATGGCAGACAAGATAGTATTCAAAAGTTCTTTATTCTTAAAACTATGATATTTCTATTATTCACGTACTCCGTCTACATCTCCACTTTCACGTGTTGTCCAAATCCTTACTCAATCCCCGCTCTTTTGACTGCTCACTCAAATGTTCATCGCTACAAGAAATCTAGTATTTAACGACCAAAATTAGTGAAGAGACCAGTTGACCATCATTATATACATGTTGCAATTATATTGGCTTAAAGTACCCTATACATGTTGCAATTATATACCCTATACATGTTGCAATTATATACCCTATACATGTTGCAATTATATACCCTATACATGTTGCAATTATATACCCTATAAATGTGTGGTATTTACTTAAGTTAAATGAATTTTAAATGATTATTTCTTTAGCTATTCAGATGTACTTGTCAAGCTTGGACATACCACTTTCCATTAACAAGTCATTTTGTTAGTTATAATCATAGTTCCTATGTCACATGTGCTTTGAAAGGAAAATGAGTTTTTTTTTACTAATTTGTTCTATTTACTAATTTGTTATATGGTAGTATTTTTGCCTTTAAATTGACCCTATAATTGCATAAATAAATACTTTCTGAATGACACCATATATAGGTTAACTTCTTTGCATTAGAATGACCATATATCTGAACATATGAGTCTCTACATAAAATTAAGCATTTATTTGTGTTTAGTTTTTGAAGAGGTTGAAATATTTTTCAGGAAATTTTAGTACATTGCTTGAAATGGCGCCGAATAAAGATTGGATGGACCTAGTAGATGATGATAGACTTGATCCAAAATATAAAGAAGGGGTTGATCAGTTTTTAGACTATGCATATGAGAAGCTGTTGGATAGTTTTAATGAAAAGGATGAAGACTTTGAAATTCGATGTCCATGTGTTAAATGCAGCAATGTGAAGTCTGGTAATCGTGAGTCGGTAAAGACCCACTTGATTATTCATGGAATTATTAAAAACTACAGATTTTGGTGTCATCACGGCGAAAGACAGGGTGAGTCCATTTCGGAGTTTGATGAAGAACAAGAAGAAATGATAGAAGAAAGCCAGAGTGACGATGAAATGCAAGAAATGATTGGAGATTTATTTCATAATTCAACTGGCGTTGTTGCACCTGATGCCACGTCGAGTCAGGATATTCTTGAGCAGGAACCAGATGGACATGCAAAACAATTCTACAGTCTTTTAGGTGACTCCGAGAAACCTTTGTATGAAGGCTCTAAATGTTCAAAGTTATCTGCTTTAGTGAAACTACTTCACATAAAGAGCCTAAATAGGTGGAGTAATAAATCATTCTCAATGTTGCTCCAGTTTTTGAATGAGGAGCTATTGCCAGGGGAATCAACACTGCCTAATTCGTATGACGAGGCCAAAAAATTAATCCGAGACCTTGGCCTATCATATGAAAAAATTGATTCGTGTCCATTCTCTTGCATGCTGTTTTGGAAAAATGAAGAAGGTCTTGATACGTGTCAGAGATGTGGTGCTTCTAGATGGAAACTTGATAAACATGGAAAAGAGATCAAGCGAAAGGCAAATGGTAAAAAAATACCACAAAAGACATTGCGATATTTTCCTCTTAAGCCACGATTGCAAAGGCTTTACATGTCTTCGAAGACAGCTTCTGATATGAGATGGCACCATGAAAGACAAGTTGAGGACGGAGTGATGAGGCATCCAGCTGACTCTAAGGCTTGGAAAAACTTTAATGAGCTACATGACAGCTTTGCCGAAGAGCCCCGAAATGTTAGGCTCGGTCTTGCAAGTGATGGTTTCCAACCTTTCACAAATTCAAAAGTTTCTTATAGCATATGGCCCGTTTTACTTGTACCATATAACTTACCACCATGGATGTGCATGAAGCAATCTAATTTTATTTTATCTATGCTCATTCCTGGTCCAACTGGTCCTGGAGATGCTATTGACACCTACTTACAACCATTGATAGAAGAACTAAAGGAGTTGTGGGCCTCAGGCGTTCGAACATATGATGTATCTCTGAGACAGAATTTCATTTTACATGCAGCACTAATTTGAACCATTAATGATTTTCCTGCTTATGCAAATTTATCTGGATGGAGCACTAAGGGGAAATTAGCATGTCCTTGTTGTAATAAGCACACTCACTCTATCAGGTTAAAATATGGAGGCAAGCAGAGCTATATGGGGCATCGTCGCTATCTTGATGAAAATCACAGTTGGAGAAAGGATAAGAAATCATTTGATGGCACTAGGGAGAGAGGGTATGCAGCGCCGAAGCTGACCGGAGATGACATCCTTAAGCAGGTGGAAGATCTTATAGGGATCACCTTAACCAATCATCCAGAGAAGAAAATTAAAATATCACACGAAAGACGGGGAGATAATTGGAATAAAAAAAAGTATTTTTTTTTTTGATTTGCCATATTGGAGAACTCTCTTATTGCGACATAATTTAGATGTCATGCATATTGAGAAGAATATTTGTGATAGTCTGCTGGGAACAATCATGAACATTAAAGGAAAGTCAAAGGATAATATCAAAGCCCGTCTCGATTTACAAGCAATGAGTTTAAAACCGGAGTTACATCCAATCCAGAAAGGAGATAAACTTGTGATGCCAGCAGCTTGTTATACTTTATCCCAAGAAGAGCAAAGCAAATTTTGTCGATTTCTAAAGGAGTTAAAAGTTCCAGATGGATTTTCATCCAATATTTCTCAATGTGTAAACCTTAAAGAGCATAAGATTTTGGGGTTAAAGAGTCATGATTGTCACGTTCTTTTGCAGCGCTTGATTCCTATATCGATTCATGGCCTTCTTCCTGCAAAAGTGTGTGAACCAATTATTGAACTTTCCATATTCTTCACTATATTATGTGCCAAGACATTAAGGGTGGATGAACTTAAGCAAATTGATGAGCAGATTCCACTTACGTTATGTAAGCTTGAGAAGATTTTTCCACCTTTAATTTTTGATGTTATGTTGCATTTAGTAGTTCATTTAGCATCTGAAGCCATACTTGGAGGGCCTGTTCGATTTCGATGGATGTACCCAGTGGAGCGTCAGCTTTATACTTATAAGTCATATATCAGAAATAGGGCACGTCCAGAAGGGTCAATTGCTGAAGGATATATAGCAGATGAATGCATGACTTTTTGCTCAAGATATCTAAAAGGCTTCGAGACAAAGTTTAATCGCCTTGAAAGAAATTATGAAGATGACAATAGAGAATGTAATGAAGCACAACTATCTATTTTCAGACATAGTGGGCGGGCATTGGGTGCTGCCACCACCCGCTACCTTGATGAACGTGAGTGGTTGCAAGCTCATATTTATGTTCTAAAGAACTGTGATGAAGTGCAACCACACATTGAGTAAGTCACTAAAGTTTAAGATTCTACTAATAAATTTACTATAGTTAGTCAACGTTAATCATATTTATAATATTTTAATGTAGGGACTACAATGAATTCGTGAGAGAACCCACAAATCACTATGATGATAAAGATTGGGATAAGAACTTTATCGAGTGGTTCCAAGCTCTAGTACGTACATATCTTGCCTTATTTTTTAAATATCTTGATTGGTTCATTTTATTACATGTTCCATGACTTGATCATATTTTGGTTTTGTTTAGGTTTATCAGAGTTATCGAGAAGATGATGACTTACTTTCACTATCTCGTGGTCCAAGTAAGATTGTTAAATGTTTTACTGGATTTGTCATAAATGGACATCGATTTCATACAGAAAGTCGAGATAATTGTTTGTCAACTCAAAGTAGTGGGGTTGCAGTTGTTGGTGATGCTGGTGATGGTGGAGATATAGATTATTATGGTGCTTTGGTTGAAGTTGTCGAATTAGAGTATCCTGGTAGAAGAAAGGTTGTTCTATTTCGTTGTAAATGGTGGGATGTGCACGGCAAAGGAAAAGGGACCGCTTTGAAAGAAGACAAATATGGATTTATCAGTATTAACTGCCGACACTTGCTAAAGACGAATGACCACTTTATACTTGCTGGCCAAGCATCACAAGTTTTTTATGTTGAGGATATTGCCAATGAAGGTTGGCATGTAGTTCTTAAAGCACAACCCCGTGATTCCTATGATATGCCACCAGATACAGATGATTGTGGGATAACAGACGATGGAGTTGAAGCTTATTTGCAAGATGAATCATTTGATGCTCAGGCTATTGCATCAACATCATTGGAAGATGATTATATCAATTTGAGAAGGAGTGATATTGATCCAATTATTGTAAATTCGGTCTCAACTTCAAAAAAGAGGAAAAAGACTCAAGCAGAGAATTAGAACGCTTTAATTAAAGAATAGAACACAAATGATATTGTGTTATTGAGATAAAATTTAAGTTGTATCTTCACTATAACTATTCCTTTTTTAGACATATGATGTTCTTTTCTTCATATTTTGGATGTGGCTTTGACATTGCAGCAAGTGCTTCTACATTAGTGTATTATGTATTTATTGTTATGCTTGTCCTTCGTGATATCTTCTTCTTTTATTCATTTCTCTTTTGATATTTGTTTCATACATAGTGTGTAATACTTAAATTCCTTTTCATAGCAGGAAAATGAAAACTCAAGAAGTCACTTCCAAAAGCAAAAAGGCACAATTTCTAGCACCCAGGTCATTAATTAGGAAGCGACTTCAAGCAATTGCAGAAAATTCATTAAGAAGGGAACAACTCCGTACTTGTCATGACATGAACTTGAATATTCAAAATCCAACACAAGATCAAAATATGGATGCAAATTTTAGCGCTGATTCAGAAAACTTTGAAGAGGAGAATTTTGCACAAAATCGCAGGAGAAGTGCAAATACTAACAATGAAGAGAATGATGATTCTGCAGGTTGATGAGACTTAAAATTTATTATTATTTGTTTTTATCTTTCAATTTATTTTTTATGATTGGATTAATAATTGCTCAATTTTTGCAGAATCAGATAATCATCGAGTGCAAAGTGATGATGCAATACTAAATGAATCTCGACAAGAAGGTATATTCTTTATTAATTACAAGAAGAAATATTTTTATCAATTTCTTTAACTATATCTTGTTTCTAACATATGATATGATGTATGCAGCTGATAATTCTCAAAGGAAGAAAAATCCACCTCGTGGTAGTAATAAGTGTCTAAAGTTGAATAATTTGTCACATGGGGAGAAAAAAATCATTACTTTTTATCAGAATAGAGCTATTGAACCAGAATTTTCACGATATCTTGGAATTATTATTCGAGATAGAAATATTTGCCCAGTAGCTGTTGAGAATTGGGCCAAAATACCACAGCAAAATAAAGATCATATGTGGGCATCCATTAAGGTACATTGAAAATTAATTTTTTACAATTGGTTTTTAATTCTTATAAATTAAATTTTGATTCAAATTTGATATAGGATAAATTTGATGCTGATGACATGGAGCAAAAGAGAGAGTCAGTAATGAGACACTTGCGCGATTTGTGGAATAAGTGGCGTGGTGACATGCACAGGAAATATGTGAAAGAAAATTCATTGCAAGTTGCACTTAGAAATAAACCTACAGAAGTGAGTGTTGATGACTGGGATTGGCTAGTTAAGGAACATTATTTTTCTTCAAAATTCCAGGTATTAATCTCCTAATTTTATTAATTAATTTCTTTCATGTATATTGTTGGATTGTTAAAATTATCTTTTAATCTTGATGTATAGAAAGCAAGCCAACAAAATACACTTAACAGAGGCAAACGAAAGATGCTCCACCACACGGGCAGCAAATCCTTTAGACAAATTGCGTGGGAATTGGTATACATTCAAAACTAATTTCCTATTTATTTATAACTACTTTGTTTTTGAGTTTGATGTTGTACTCATTTGTATTTAATATTTGAATAAGGGTGGCAAGTCAGGAAATCCACCTGATGTGGCAAAAATGTTTCATGAAACTCGAAAGAAAGCTAATGAAACACTAGAAAATGGGGATCAAGATAAATATGTAAGTAGAATATGTGTTTAAGTTTGATAATGATGCATTATATAGTACTAACATACGAATTTAATTTTTATAGGATGAAATTGTTCAAGTCAAACAAGCAAACCCTTCACTTTCTGACATTGAGATAGTTGAGAAAATCTGGGGGAAACAATCTCATGGTCACATCATTGTATTTGGTGGCGGGACTACTTTGAAAGATTTGAGAGGACCGCTCCCTAGTCGATCTGATCTGGAAGCACGGGTTATAGAAGAAAAGAGAAAGAACCAGATGCTTCAACAACGCTTAGATGAGCAGGAGCAACAACAACAAAGGATGTCTGAGTTGGAGTCACAAGTGAAAGCTATGCAAGAACTTTTTTTTAGGCAATCACCTTCATTGACTCCTCAAACTCGAGAACATGTGCAGGACTAGGTAATTATTTTTTGTAAAATCTCTTATATACTTTTATGATTGACTACTTAATAAGATAATATTTGCTTAATTGATATTTCTTAATTATGTGATTTTTTTTTTAATTTTTTAGGCTATCCATGCAAGATTAGGAGAGGGTAGCTCGAGTCTTCTTTTGATGATGATTAGAGGTGTCAGAGATGTGTCTTCCCCAAACTTTTATTTTAATTTGTTTTAGAAAGTTTCATGTATTTTTCTTTGGAACAATTACGATATTAACTCTTATTATTAGTATTGAATATTTGAGGATGGTGGAATTTTATTTATTGATGTTATTAATGAATGGAATTTTTATTTTACCTCTTATTCATTATTGGGTATTTTTAATATGTCTTTGTTGTGAATCTTAGTGTCTGGTTGAGAATAATATGATAGTTACCTATGAATGAAAATTTATTATTAATGTATATTACAAATTTGTAGTCTACAATGACGGTTTTATAAACCGTATTTTGTTCATCAACGAAGGGAAAACACCGTCGTTGATGGGTTACTAATTACCCATTATGAGGACTTTTACGACGGTATCCAACCGTCATTAATTAGTCTTCAACGATGGAAAATAATCCCCGTAACTAATGGTAACGACGGGAAAATATCCCCGTAAC